GGTCTTTGTTCATGGCACTCTGTCAAATAAAAGAGGCACACATCAAGCCCACAGACTAACAAATGTCTTCTGAGCATGAAAGTGATGAGAAGGTACACTGGTAACAATTCAGGGTTGGGGTTGCATACAAATGCAGGCCACACATTTCAGAATTCAAACTGTAAACATTTTCAAAGCCATGTATGATTTTTCTTCTACTCCACAACTGCACATTACTTTTGTTTGCCTATCAAATAGAATGTCATTAAAGGACATCGGAGTTTGTGGTTGTAACACTACAAAATGTGGAAAGGTTTGTCAGGGATGAACACTTCAGCAAGACACTGTACGATGGTTGCACAATATCAGTGATGTGACAGCTTCACGTAAATTAAAATGTAGCCATGTTGAAATTTAAAAGAAAACTGTGGGCCCCTGATATGTTTGTTGTCCTAAAAAACATTCTTAACAGTTTTAGTTAAGAAAGATATGCTTACAATAAAATCATAGTATTTGTAATGTTTTAGCACTTATTATGGCCTAACATACATTTAACACCTACTGGAGTGAGACTACATTAATAAAAAACCATGTTTAAGTATACAGGGTTTCTTTTCTTTTACATTTAGAGGGAAAAATCTGTTGCCTGTAGTTTTGAAAAAAGTAGAACCATAATGTCTGAGACATAAATTGTAATATTAACCCTGCAGTGTTCTGCTTTAACAATAGGAATTTGTGTAAACGCCAAGAACAATAGATCATATGTTGAGATATAGATCTGACCTATACTTTCACTTTGATATCTGTTTTAAAGAATTCCCTCTGCTTGTTGGCACTGCCCTACATTATCATACAAATTCTCTCTACTGTCCACTGACCAAGAAATTAATAAAGAGTGCTAAATAGCTGAAAAGTGCTTTTAAAGTCCTATTTTAGTGACACGAAACCACAGCATGGATTTAATATTTCCTGCGTATGTTGAGAGCTAATGTGGACACTGTCTCTGTCATGGTGGGCACACAGGAAGTGGGAGCTTCTCACTTTGGCTCAGAAACCCTAATATCAACCGCAGCATTATTATCCCAGCTCGCGCACCGTGTGCCACACTGCAGTGTTATCCATGCCTGCTGCCAGCTCTCCCACCCCCGCCTCTTTAATTCCCCCAGTACTACACAGGGCAGTTACGCTGCAGTAATCCCAGGCAGAGGAGAGCGCTGCCTGTTCAGACAGCTTTGTTTCACTTAATATTAAGCTTTACGAGGCAGATGCAGATCAATGATTAAAAAGTTAATAGCTGCTAGTTTTACCATAAATAAATGTCTTGTCTGGTCATAGAGTAATATCATTTTTACCTACATACAAACATGGTAAAACATTTACATGCTATGCAAAACCAAGGGTTTTATCCTACTGTATAAATGATCTGACCGGGTTCAATCTAATCTCAACTGTACCAAAACACACAACAGATTGCAGGCTGTCATTATTTATATAAAACCAAAACAAAAATAAAAAGACTAACTCCATCCTAGAGATTTGGAAATGAAAGTAGCAGCCAGAGGCTGCTGATTAAATGCAGGTAATTAACTAATTATCAGGTCATCAGGTCTGAAAAGCCAGAGTTCTGGCAGTTTGCTGCTCACTTTCCAGGTGATGCCAGAAAGGAACTACATCAGCAAGGACTTTACAGAGGCAACAAAAGCTGCTTATCAATCTGGGAAGGGTTATAGGGCTATTGCCACATGATTGAAGCCCATCATTTTCTAGTGAGACAGACTAAACAAAAGTCGAAACAATTTAATCCAGGAGTAGACATTCCTGCAAATTCTCACTAGTATTAGACAGTGTAACACTGAGAAACAGCAACAATGCAAGAAATGCATCCAGACTCCACAGGCCTCAGTTAGCATGTTCAAGGCTTCTTGTCTCTAAAACCATTACGGCAGCACAACGTAGGCTTGCAACATTTTTATCGTCCTGATATGTGAAACCCTAGAATAGAAAGAGGGTATAATTTCTTTTTCCCATAACTGTAACAGTAAGAATATAGGTCACCTGTAATATTAGCCCTTTTTCCAGTGATGGCCGCAACTAAGCAGAAATACGTGTTCAGCGTGAGCCTCACCTCTGCAGCTCTGTGCAGTAGCTAACCCTTGGGTCCCTGAGGAAGACTGAGACTTGTAATGGTCCAGTTTTGTTGTTATAAACTCTACTGAATTACTTTGAATTTTTTCACATAATATGTACAAAGCCCCGTTAACTCTGCATAACCTTCCCAGCTTTCCTTCTTTCTCCACCACTAACCATGACTGCCACAACTTACCCTCTCAGCTTGCCTTTTTGCCAGTCCCAGCTGGAGCTGCTGTTCAATGTGTCCTTGTTATTGTAGGTGCTGTAAGATGCAGAACGCCCCAGCAAAGCCCCAAAGGCCCTTTCTAGTGCTGCCTAATCCACTTCATTGTGTGACGCCTACCAGCTCTTCAACAAGTCTTAACCTCTCACGCCCCCAACACAATCCCAGAGCACTCCCATGTTGAGGATATTTTCCTCTGGGACTTATGTAGTAAGGTAAAGCAATGAGGTTATTTACAACCCGGTTTTGTGTGATGTGATACGTAGATAATGCTGACTTGGAGAGAGTCCAGAGTAGGCATTGAAACTACTCCCGGGTTTGGCTGATATGGGATTTAAAATAGATTGGCATTTCAGCTGACTAACAAAAATATTGTGCTTCTATTTAGGAAGCTTATCCTTAAAAGTGCCAAAAAATGACATATTTGAAACACAAAAACTAAAGAAGAAGATGGGGTTATCTGACTGTAATGTAAACTCTTTTATGTAAGATGAAGACGAAACATTTCATCATCTTTAAGACACAAACAGCTCTATCCTCTGGAGTCTTTTTGTGGATAGTCAAATCCTTAAACTCTTTACATATGCTGGGAGAAGCCATGTTCAGCTACAACTGCTTGCCACACAACAAGAAAATGCAAGCAAACACAAGAAAGAGGGCTTGTAAAAGCAGTGAAAACCAGGGCTTGATATTAGACAGGTTATTCAGGTCAGACTATGATAGCTGGAGGAGAGAGCCTGGAAGCTCTTAGCTGTGTTAAATTAGATAAACATTTTGGTATTTTTTTGGGACATCCTTTTACAGAATTCGACACGTCTAACAACGCAGCAGCGAGTTAATACCACATTAGCAAATCGGACATACAGAGGGGACGGTCACAAATGCTTCGGTCTGCACCCTCGGCTGTGAACAGGCCTTAATCCTCTTATACTTTCACACAAACACACACAGGCGCCAGTATACACACTTTCATTTTCATACAAACACACTGGCTAAATCAACTCTCAAATGCAAACTAAAACAAATGGTGCAGTTGTGGGTAATAAAGTCTGTTTTCTGAGCCGGACCAGAATTCCTAGTTATAGTTTAGGTGCCAGTATTCTAATTTAGATAATAAATGTTTAATGTACACTGACAGGATAAGAAATGGATGAAGCAAAATGATAGGACAGATACTGTTTAAACATAACACTGAAACTATTAACTATCATTTGTGATCTTAATGCTTCCCAAAGTGAGTTTCAGGAATTAACAGAGGAGTTGTGAAACCCTTGATTTAATGGGTGGGGGTGTGGGGTGATCCTGAGATGGACCCCCAGCATAATTTCATCACAATAAATCAAAAAGAGCAGATATGAAATGATAAAAAAATATAGTAATGGTTACTGAGCCATTTTGCTTGTCTATTTTAATAGCAATGTTTGTATTCTTCAACCAACATTAGTCAGAGTCACAGGTCTTTGCTACTTCTACTCTGTGGGTCAAAAGTTGAAATGTTATGTGTTATTTAAAGTATGGCAGTGTAGCATTAGGAAACACACAAAGGTTGACCTTAAAACATATTTCACTATTTTGACCAAAAACCATGAAAAAATGTTTAGGTGACATTAGACTGGACTAAATAATCTTCTATCCTACAAACTGTGCTCTGGAGATTCTCCAAATGAATGACTTTGAAGTTGTGATGAAATGCTTAAAACATTTTGTAAAATGTAAATACTCTTTCAAATTAATTATATTTTTTTCTGCTAAGTAAGCAGAATGCAACCTTGTCCTTCCTGCTTTGCAGTACAGGTCTCAGAACATGAGCATACTGCTACCACAGGAATATTCCTAGCTAGGCCTGTTTAGGAAGTCTGTCTCTCTGAAAGGTCAGAAAATGATTTTGAAAAATAGAATCATTTTTTTCTAATGGTTATTTACGTGTAAACGTGTCATCCTGTCTTCTGTGTACACATGAGAGTAGAAGTGATGAAGGAGAGATGGTGGAGACAGCCAGACAGTTATGGACTGACCTGCCTACACACACTGAAACAAGAAGCTTGGTCCAATTGGGTCCATAAACAGGTTTCACTTGTTTAAAATTCAGTTTTGCTGTTTTGATTCATCGTGATATTCTTTAATCTTTTAGCAAGATTGCTCACGATTTGATGAGGAACTGCTGAACCTCTAACAACTGTGTCAAGATGAAAACAGCCAGTGCCTTCCCGAATAGACAACCTCCAAGATGGTTAAAACAAATGCTGTAGAGAGATTCTCTGCACTTAGCTGAGGAACAGAACATTCAGAAACGCAGGTCAAGGGACCCAGTCTGGTTAACTGAGAGACGACCCAATGAGACCCAAAGCTAAGAGTACGGTGTCTCCTCAGTTGATCTTGGGCTGTTTTCAGGCATCAGAACCTGTCAGGCCTTGAAGGCCATCCTTTGTGGAGTTCTTCACTACTTTTCCAGATTTTCCCTCAGACTCCAGATAATTAATGTAGTAATATTATGATTCTGAGAAAAAAACATATCTTCATAATGTATTTCTCTAATTCCTTTCATGCAATTTAGTCTGCATGAAAATGTGAATTTACCCTTCAGACAGAGAGATTTTTGACAGATTTAAGACTGATGAAAAAAGACTAATATGATTTTTAATGTTACTGATGCTACTCCGTATATGAGGCGACTGTGACTCAGTGGGAAGAGCGGTGGTCTAGCAATCCCAAAGTTGTGGGTTCGATTCCAGCTTCCTACAGCCACATGTCGATGTGCCCCTGGGCAAGGCACTTAACCTCAAGTTTCCTACCGATCTGCGTATCAGTCTAGAATGTGTGCGCATTCGTAAGTGCAACTGTGTGAATGTGGCTCTAGTGTAAAACGCTTTGAGTGGTTGGTATGACTGGAAAACACTATATAAGTTCAGTGCATTTACTATTACTCATGCACTGGTAAGACACTATCTTCATTCTCTACAACAGAGTCTCATTCACTAGTTTTACTCCTACACCAATCCCTTAACTAAGATTAAACCTACCTCAGCTGCATGGAAGTTAAGTTGAAGTAAATTATGTTCTGAGGAGATGGAGAAATTGTCTACAAAACAAGATATCCTCTCAAGGATGAATGAATGTCATTTATTCGGGCAGAGACATAACAACTGCTGTTGATAATAAGAAAATTGCTATTGGAGTGTTTGTTGATAGTAAAATAATTTATTTTGACACTCTAAATCATGATTTACTGTTAAAAAAGCTGGAACGCTCTGGGATCGGAGGGCTTGGTTTATAGTGTGTTAAAAGTTATTTAAGTGGCAGACAGCAGGATGTAAAACTGAGATGTGAGTACTCAGTGTTTGGACATTTATTGTGGCGTTTCACATGGGTCCTACATTTTTTATCATTTATGTAAATCACATATAGAACATTTCTAAAGTTATTCGTATTATTTGCTGATGATGTACACATTTTCTGTGTTTCAGATACTATGGAACAGCTGTCTAAAGATGTCACTGAATAAATGAAAAAGCTAACAAACCGTCTTTAAATGTTAGCAAAGCTAAATGATCCTGTTTGTGAACTGTAGAATGGACAAGGAACTGAAAATACAGATAAATGAAGTAAATGTAGAAAGAGTACATGAAGTCAAATTTCTTGGTGTTATAAGTGATGATTAACAGAACTGGAAACATCACATCAGATACATGTAAAGTACAATATCCAAAAGTATTTCTATTTTGCACAAAGCTAAACGTGTTAGATGAAAAAGCACTTTGCATTCTGTACTGTACATTAGTTTTACCATAAGTTACTGCACAGAGACTAGGGGGAACAACTATAAAACAACACAGCAATCATTGATCATAGTTACAAAAAGAGCATTGAGAGTAATCAACAAGACTCTATTAAGGATAACATTTCTTATGTTTATTGTTGTTCTTCTTATCTCTGTAACCATTCCTCTGCCTTATTTAGAATAAAAGTGTTAAAAATGTAGTTCTGTTTGAGAGTCATTCCTTTAAGAGAAAGTTTTATAGACAGTGGGGTGGGGAAAAGGGCCGTGGGGACTCCGACAGGTCAGTACCGGAATCATACTAAACCCCTATTTATACAATCAAAGTTATTAAAACAGACTGATGTAGTCTACTACAAAACTAATCTAGTAATGTATAAAGCTAAATATAACCAACGGCCAGAAATTATTAAAAAAATATCCAGAAGAATGGAAGGGGATTGTCATAACATCAATGATTTTTGTGACAGGAAATTCTAATGAATAAAAATGAGTAATTTGCTTTTCTTAATCCTTGCCCAAATGAAATGTTGTGGTATAAGACACCAAATTAACCAATTGAAGAGTTTTTGAGTAAGTGCAAAGATTTTCACACACAGTGGAAATGTGCCTTCTGAAGAACTTCTTCAATGGGCCAGATAGCCCTTCTTCTTTACCCTACCAGACAGAACTTTACTTGTACTAGCAATCATCTGCAAGTGGATGGATACTAACATAACACATTTATTTCCTCTTTTAATTGTCAAAACAAAATTTTTGTCTCATCAGTTCCAAAAATAAGCACCCACACAGATAGCACTTCCTAAAACCATGATGAGCATTCTGTGTGTTTCATGTTGACGTGCACCACTGAGGAGCATTCAAAGAAGTTCTCACTGTAAACCAGCAAGCCATCTTGTCCATTCCTTTCTCAATCCTCTGTCTAACAGCAACTGGGGTGGGGGCAGTGACCCATGGTGATGGTATCCTACTTATCCTAGATGATTGTTTTTGTGTTATGACTTTAATCCCATCGTTGCCTCCAGCTGTCTCTGATTAGTGTTCTCTCGTCCAAATCCACACCTGACTGAGGCCCCCACAGACAGAAGTGCACACTTGATAATATAAAAACTGATTCAAAAATGAAAATGTGCTGTGCTATATTTGGATTTTTCTCAGAAAGCTTAAAACTGCAGTTTTTTTTTTTAATGAACTTACCTTTTACCTGGTTATAATGGTGAAATAACTTGGGATACAGCACCTTATAGCTTAAAATTGTGCTGTTATGAAAGCATGAATTATGTTTGATGCACTGGTAATCTTAGGGTGTATTCACACCAGGAAAGTCCTTTGGTCCGCTTGTTTGGTCCGGACCAAAAGCGAACTTTATTTTTT